TACCTTTGTTCACAATCAAATCTACAATCTCATTATCATAAATCAAAACCTCACTTACAGCATTACAAACTATCTTATTCTCACATATAAGGTTGACTTCCCGTTCAAATCTTTGTAAAATCGGATTACCACTTGCAGATAATTTCTGATGATAAATAGGTGCACTATCATTTTTTATAATTTGCACTTTAACAGATTTATTAAACCATGAACTAATTTAACAAATTAGCATTAATTAGTAACAAATTAATAGTTATTGTCGCAGCTGATGCTGAATATGGCTGATGCTGAAAGTCGGACCTATTTTGATATGAAAATTTAAAAATTTTTTGGTGTGATTTTGTCCGCCTTTTTTTTTTTATGGTTAGGGTAAGATTTAGGGTTAGAATTGATAATTAAAGAGCATATGTGAATTTTAGCTGAGACCCCAAAATTCAGCATCAGCCGTTTTCAGCATCAGCTGCGACAGTTATTTTACCAAAATTTAAAAAACTAAAATTTTATATCAACATACCTTAAAATCCTTTGCAAATTACCGTTAGCAGTTAAACAAATCCTCTCTAAACCACTAAATTCATCTGGCAATAATATATTTGTTTCTCTTAATGACATTATATCACCAAAAATATTTGGAATTAAGTCTAACGGATCTCCATCTTCGTTTTCACTTTTCTTTCTAATATATAAATTATTAACTTTCGTAAATATATTTTAAACAACTTGATTGATTAGAATAAATTTTATACTTACTTTCTAGTTTATAAAGACAAATATAAATATTATATTCACTGCCTAATTTAATATGTAAATATATATTAAATGTGTATAATTGCTTGATATGTATATCAAATTTAATTTTATACTTACAATAAAGGTAAATCTTGTTATGCATAGACTTTAAACAACGTACTCTCTAGTTTATATAAAAATAAATGATTAATTTTGAAAATATATATAAACTCTCTTAACATTAATTTCTATACTCACTTTCTAATTCATTATAAGAAAATAAATAATATTTTTGATGCATAGTTTTAAAATGAACAAAAAAAAAAAGAACATTAGTTCATTATAAAACGTATAAATATGCGTAACACACAACGTTAGATTTAAAATAAATTGAAATAATTGCTTCCTAAATCAGATATAGTAAATGAACGATTTAATAATACATAAATCTCTTAACAGAATTTCAGAATAAACCATAATTATATCTATAGTTTAATAAAAAAAAAAAAGATAACGTAAATTTAAATAAGTAAAATTTTATACTTACTCGTTACTTAATGTGAGGATATGTGGTTAATTTTATTCTAAAAGGTTGAAAATTATTAGCGTTATCATAATTGAAAATCCCTAGTGATAAAGAACTTACACTTACGTATAATTAATATGTAATGATCAAGAATACATCATTAGTACATGAATAAATTATTGAAATGAATGTTATGTGATAATAGAAGTCATGATTTAATAATTTCACACATTTTTTGAGACATACAATTCAAAGAATATTAATAATTAATTAACCAAAAACTTTTAGAAAACAAAATTACGATTTACATTAAATTAATTATTAGCTTCTCTAAATTGTGTATCTTAGAATGATGCTCTGTCGCGCTATTTAGTACAAATACAATAGCAACTTTTGTAGTACATAAATTTTTGTCTCTTGTGTATGTATCATATGTCGGAATGGAATTATTGTAGATTTAAATTTACTTAGGTTGAGATGGAATTTAACGCAATTAGATACGAAATCTGAAAGCAAATTAAGTTGATTCTAAATTTGATACTATAATAAATGTGCAATCGGTTGATGCAACGATAATTATTGACTATCGTTGTAATGAATTGCTGAAAGATTTAAATG